CCTCGCCCGGGGTCGCCGCCTGGACCCCAAACCTGGGTCCTCTCCGCGCGCCCCGCACTCCGGCGCTTCGACCGCTGTTCTTGCCTTTTATTGTTATTTTGCCCGATTGGTTATCGCTCCTCCACCCCGTGTGGTTTTCAAATACGAGGACGCCCGCCCAGAGGTCTCTTTCAAATCTTTGCGTGTACACTGGCCTTAAGTGACTCAGTGGAGAGTGCATGTCTCCGTCTCTTTCCAGACTAGATGGGTCACCGGCTGTTGAAAAAGAATCCAAATCTCTGAAAAGGTTTGTGACTTAAATTTTTAAAAAGTTCTCACGCTCATTTGTTATGGTCTTTCTTTCTTTTCCTTTTTAAAGGAAGTTGGCTAATTTGTGTTTTTATATTTCGAGGTTTTTTTGCATACAATTGTTTTTAAAGGGAGGGGATTTCGTTAGACCCGAAACTGAAACTGTGGGGCGGCTTCCTCCCAGGCGAGAGCGTCCGTCGTATCCCTACACCTCTGACTCCATCCATCCTTCCTCAAATACATAAATAAATAGGATAATCAGAAATTTGTACCTGGATTGAATGAGGCGGACGTGGAAGGATCCAGGACCGTGCTCTTCTCTTCCTTTATGGAAATCCGCTCCGCTCCAAGCCCGGGAAGGAAAATTCAACGTGCCTCAACCCCTCCCTTCTCTCTCTCTCTCTTTTTTTCCTTTGAAAAGACCCCAGGAAGGCAACTTTCCTGGGGCTACCGGAGCCCCGGGCCTCGCTCTCCCATCTCTCGGGCGGCCATAAGTGTTTTTCTGCTTCGATCTCTGCCTGGCGGCTGGTCCTCCCGGGCACCCCTGCCGCTCACCCAGCCTGGACACCGGCTGTGGTCATCGCTGCATCCATCTCTGCCCCTGGGCTTGATCCTACACGCTTGGCCCTCTCTTTAAAACAGGGGCTCTAAAGAGTTCCCAAAGCCACTAACCAACCCCCTATGTGGGGTTCTTCCCCTCATCGCACAAAGCAAAAGCCGAGAAAGAGAAGCGGGACAGAGCGGCCTCCTGGCTCTCCCTCTCCTCCTCTGGCTGGAGGACCTCATCTGGGGTGAGGGGTTCCCACACCCAGCCCCCCAAGGGCATAGGAAGAAGTTAACTTCCTTCTTTCCTTTCTTTTCTTCCCCCAGTTGCTATAATCACCACTCCTTCCACTGTCCCCTCCTCAAAATATCTCCTTCTGCATTTTATTGTTACCCTGCTAGGAAGGGATGGCTAACTACTGTTTTTATTGTTATTTTTATTGTTCTTATGAGTGTTGTTGATTTGTTCACCAGGTTCAGGGGACAGCAGCCTGGCCCAGAGGGAGGCCTGCTTGTCACACGTGCATGTGCACACAGACACACACCCCTCCTAGCACAGTGCACACATTCACAGGTATATACCCACAAATACCTACTCTATTCAGGCTCCTGAACAGCAATTCAGAGGAGACTGGCATCCTACCCCAGCACACAAACAACACGTTGCCCACGCACACCAGCATTCAGACCCAACCACCATCCCCAGACAGATGCCAAAACCCACACAACGCACTTGAAAGGAAAGGAAAATATGTAAGAACCCACTTGCAGAGATCCCTTCTCTCCCACAACCTGGAGGGGCAAGTCAGGCCTCTGTCTCTTCCCCCTAGTCTCTCTCTCTTTCTCTCTCTCTCTCTTTTTTTTTCTCCTTGTTTACAGCTTCAGAGAGCTCAAGGCCCATAAATCTTGAGGGGCCTACAGAGGCAGAGCGCATTTGTATGCATCGTTAGGACTCGCTAATACCTAAGCCCATTAACAAGCGTGTTTGCGCGTGGTTTCCGGTGTGTATTAACTTATAGTTAAATTCTGGAGGAAAGGGCATTGTGAATTAACATATACCAAATCCATCACGGGCTTTTGTCATATCAGATTAGTCAGCCATGGGTTTGGGGGGGCCTAAGTTGCCTGAGTCCGGGTGTACCCACCCTCTAAGAACTTTCTGGTGCAACCTGAGGGCCTAAGGGAAGACAGGACATTCCAACCCCAGCCCCAGCGATTCAGATCCCCTAGGCCAGTAGCTGCACATCTGCGGGACGGTGGATGGGCAAGGGACCCAGGTCCGGGAGGCCGGAGCAGGCGGCGGAGGGAGGCAGGCGAAGGGAGGTCCCGCCGGCAGTCCGTGGTTGTGCTGGGACCACTCAGTTCGCGGCCGCTGGGTTGTCATGTCTCCGCTTTCCGAGGGAAACCAGAGGAGAGGCAAGTGGAGTCGCTGAACTTTGATTAAACCGAAAAGAAAACAGTAGGGGGAGATTTAAAAACAAAAAAACAAAACACGATTGCAGGAGGAGGAGGCCGAGAGACCGAGCAAAGGAAGCTAGTCTGGCTCAGGGAGATCTCTGCAAGGGTCTGGAAGCTGGGCCTTGTATGAAGGTCTTCCATTTGCCCACCCCAGCTTCTCCGCCCTAGCCAAGGAGGGTAATTCCAACCCTCTTTTAAAAAGAAAGAAAGGACAAAAGGAAAAGGAAGAAAAGGTAAAGAAAAAGAAAATCCTATCTAATTACACGGCATGTTTCGGCCAGGTGTTCCTGGTTCCAGTGACTCAGATCCTATTGGAACCTCAAGGATCTGTATAATTGGGCCTGTATAGACAGAGATGAAGGATGCCAGTTCTAGAGGGAGGAAGGGGAGGGGAGGGTCCATCTCTAGGGGTCCTGCAGAAAATGCCCAAAACCAAACAAGCGAAATTATTGTGTCCGTGTGGATCTGGCTGCCTATTTAAATAAAGCAATCGGGGTAGGGTGGGGGGATACACGGACGGGCCGGGATGGAGCGAGCTGGCAGGAGAGAAACCGCTCCCCCCACCTTCCTTTGCGAGAGCGGCTAAGGGGCCTCCGCGGCGGGGCTCGGGCGGCCGCGCGGCGGGCCAGG